CAGGAGCATTCGGGAACTCAGGGAGACCTCGGGAACAAAAGATGAAATTAGAGTCAGGACCAAATTGAAGGGTGACAGGGTGTCCTCTGTGCTCCTCCCAGGGCTCTGGGCTGTGAGCTGCCGTCGGCCCCTAGGCCTGCTGCAGGCCGCGCTGCTGGCTGTATTCTCCGAATCCAGTAGCCTGCTCCGTGTCTGTGTGCAAAACGCCTCTTTAGGAGTGGGGTACCAGTCATGCAGAAGTCAGTCTGCCCCACACGGCTCAGCGTCCATCCACTTTGCATCAGGAGGATTCCCGTCCTCCTGCAGGATGACCTGGCGTCAGTCTGAACACACGTGTTGACCCCACTTTCCGGGGAGCGAGTCAAGGACCACGTGGGTCTTAGAACCAGGACATGACATGTTCTCCAGCAGGAACTTCAAGCCAGTGAGATTTTGGTGCTTTTCCATTTTCAAGGTGCATGTAAGCATACTATTTTCTCAAATACTGAAAGACTTATTTATGGGAAGTATTCTATGATTAGCCAAAAACAGGAGTGACATTGGTGATTCAGGTAAAAAAATGAATGTGTCCACCCTCTCCAAGGGCAATGGTGCATCTCACTTAGGCGTTATTAATTTCAATATGTTTTACATTTAAAAACACATTTGTGTTTTTCATCCTACCTTTTGAAAAAACTTGCTTGTTTATGGTGTGCTCTTCTCAGTTGAAGAGGTGGATTATTTATTGTTCAGTCCCTCAGTCATGTCCAACTCTGCGACCCCATGGACTGCAGCTTGCCAGGCTTCCCAGTCCTTCGCCTGTCTCCTGGAGTTTGCTCAAACTCACGTCTGTTGAGTCAGCAAATCCATCCAACCATCTCGTCTTCTGTCATCCCCTTCTCCTCCTGCCTTCTACCTTTCCCAGCATCAAGGTCTTTTCCAATGAAATCATTTGTTACCTATGATTTATGTAGATGGTCAACACCGAAATCAGATTGATTATATTATTTGCAGCCAAAGATGGAGAAGCTCTATACAGTCAGTAAAAACAAGACCAGGAGCTGACTGTGGCTCAGATCATGAACTCCTTGTTGCCAAATTCAGACTTAAATTGAAGAAAGTGGGGAAAACCCACTAGACCATTCAGGTATGACCTAAATCAAATCCCTTATGACTATACAATGGAAGTGAGAAATAGGCTCAAGGGATTAAATCTGATAAGAGTGCCTGATGAACTATGGATGGAGGTTCGTGAACTTGTACAGGAGACAGGGAGCAAGATCATCCCCAAGAAAAAGAAATGCAAAAAAGCAAAATGGCTGTCTGAGGAGGGCTTACAAATTGTTGTGAAAAGAAGGGGAGTGAAAAGCAAAGGAGAAAAGGAAAGATATTCCCATTTGAATGCAGAGTTCCAAAGAATAGCAAGGACAGATAAGATAGCCTTCCTCAGTGATCAGTGCAAAGATATTAGAGGAAAACAATAGAATGGGAAAGACTAGAGATCTCTTCAAGAAAATTAGAAATACAAGGGAACATTTCATGCAAAGATGGGCTCAATGAAGAACAGAAATGCTATGGACCTAACAGAAGCAGAAGATATTAAGAAGAGGTGGCAAGAATAGACAGAAGAACTATACAAAAAAGATCTTCACAACCCAGATAACCATGATGGTGTGATCACTCACACTCACATAGAGCCAGACATCCTGGCATGCGAAGTCAATTGGGCCTTAGGAAGCATCACTACCAACAAAGCTAGTGGAGGTGATGGAATTCCAGTTGAGTTATTTCAAATCCTGAAAGATGATGCTGTGAAAGTGCTGCACTCAATATGTCAGCAAATTTGGAAAACTCATAATGGCCACAGGACTGGAAAAGGTCAGTTTCATTCCAATCTCAAAGAAAGGAAATGCCAAAGAATCCTCAGAATACCACACAATTGTACTCATCGCACATGCTAGTAAAGTAATGCTTAAAATTCTCCAAGCCAGACTTCAGCAATACGTGAACCATGAACTTCCAGATGTCCAAGCTGGTTTTACAAAAGGCAGAGGAACCAGAGATCAAATTGCCAACATCTGCTGGATCATCGAGAAAGCAAGAGAGGTCCAGAAAAACATCTATTTCTGCATTATTGACTATGCCAAAGCCTTTGACTGTGTGGATCACAATAAACTGTGGAAAATTCTGAAAGAGATGGGAATATGAGACCACCTGACCTGCCTCTTGAGAAACCTGTATGCAGGTCAGGAAGCAACAGTTAGAACTGGACATGGAACAACAGAGTGGTTCCAAATAGGAAAAGGAGTCCGCCAAGGCTGTATATTGTCACCCTGCTTTTTTAACTTATATGCAGAGTACATCATGAGAAACGCTGGGCTGGAAGAAGCACAAGCTGGAATCAAGATTGCCAGGAGAAATATCAATAACCTCAGATATGCAGATGACACCATCCTTATGGCAGAAAGTGAAGAACTAAAGAGCCTCTTGATGAAAGTGAAAGAGAAGAGTGAAGAAGCTGACTTAAAGCTCAACATTCAGAAAACTAAGATCATGGCATCTGGTCCCATCACTTCATGGCAAATAGAAGGGGAAACAGTGGAAACAGTGGCTGACTTTATTTCTGGGGGATCCAAAATCACTGCAGAGGGTGACTGCAGCCATGAATTAAAAGACGCTTACTCCTTGGAGGGAAAGTTATAACCAACCTAGACAGCATATTAAAAAGCAGAGACATTACTTTGCCAACAAAGGTCCGTCTAGTCAAGGCTATGGTTTTTCCAGTGGTCATGTATGGATGTGAGAGTTGGACTGTGAAGAAAGTTGAGTGCTGAAGAATTGATGCTTTTGAACTGCGGTGTTGGAGAAGACTCTTGAGAGTCCCTTGGACTGCAAGGAGATCCAACCAGTCCATCCTAAAGGAGATCAGTCCTGGGTGTTCATTGGAAGGACTGATGCTGAAGTTGAAGCTCCAGTATTTTGGCCACCTGATGTAAAGAGCTGACTCATTTGAAAAGCCCCTGATGCTGGGAAAGATTGAGGGTAGGAGGAGAAGGGGATGACAGAGGATGAGATGGTTGGATGGCATCACCGACTCAATGGGCATGGATTTGGGTGGACTCCCGGAGTTGGTGATGGACAGGGAGGCCTGGAGTGCTACGGTTCATGTGGTCGCAAAGAGTAGGACACGACTGAGTTACTGAACTGAACTGAACTGATGATTTATGTATTTGTGTCCTCAATATAAGTAGGACATCAAAATCCTTCTCAATTCACTGAAAATAAAAAGACCTCTGTCCACAGCATCATTTATGAAGGAAAAACATGCTATGAACTGTAAAACTGTCTTTATGTGAGTTTGAGAAATCATTTGGTCACTTAATTTGCTAAAAAATTCAAGTCAGTAGCAAAGGCAATCAGATCAAATGTTACATTTGCAGCTACCATAATTATTAATGAAAATGTTTTATTTGTCGATAGTAAAGAAAATTGGAAATTTTATGAAGAATTTCAGAAAGTTAGAGTATGTGGGAAATACATGATCACTGGAGCAATTCAGTCATTAGTTTGCCCCTAACTTACCCTCCGCCTCCCCCACCCCTTTCTTTCTTCCAGAAAAACAGTGCGTTCAGGGCCGCCTATGTGGCAGACCCCATTTGTTCTAGGTTAGAGGCCAACAGTGACTAAAGAGAAGGAACAAACAGCATGTAGACTTCTGCCTCTGAGCTGTCGTTGGGGGTGACCAAGTCAATCAGTGGGTGCAGATCACCACCGCACCACTCTGAATGGCCCATTCTATCCCGTCATACAGTTACTCACGTCCCCCCTTTAGGGAAAGCAGACCTTGGCTAGGATATTTTACAAAGCCTGTTTGTATGAGCCAGTATACTTGAATTTTATCTCCTTCCAATTTGTTTCCATGTGAAGTTTTGAAGTTTATTTTTACTGTTGTAAGGAATGAAGGATGTTTTCAGTGCATATTCTTTCTGGCTGGCTCCAGAAAAGATTATGATACCATCTAGCCTAAGTTTCCTGAAGCAGATTTTATTTCAGCCTCATTTTACCAGAAGTGCACCGTATCCAGCCACTCCTGTAACTTTAATGGTTTTAACGGTTTCCATAATTCCGTTACGCTTTAATTGCAGAAGTCGTGCTAGTATCTGCATGGCGCTCTTATTTATTTTTCGTTTTCTTCTACCATAAGAATGCTTTGCGCCTCTTTCTGCTCTCTGCCTAATCTGGCCAGACCTGAAGTTCTTCATCGGCCAATGCCCGATTGATAACAGTGTTGAGGACTCGGCGAGGGGAGGTAATTCTATCTCATCCGCAACTAGGAGAGACAGCGATGACCATAGCTACCACAGATGCTGGGTAAATTACCTTCTCGGTTCCATTCAGGTGATTCTGCGTCCATTTAACATTAGAAGGTGATACAGTTATATTCCCAGCGCATGCTATCGCGTCATCATTTCTGATTTGTCTAAAAGACTGTAATCACATTTATCATTAAAAGGAGCAAAACTATCAAAAGACATATGTATAAGAGCATTAGAAATGTCGTTTTCTGTTTGGATTTGATAATTTCCAAGAACAACACAGTGGGAACAATTTGTAAAGAGCAGTGTTTGAAAAATGACACAAAAATCAAAAACTAAAAAAGCTTCCGGAGACCCATGCAAGATATGATTTGGAAAGACCAAGAAACAAGGGGTCAAAGAGACACACGCATTTGGGAGGAAGGTTGCTGGGGCCGTGGTGGCGCCGCTCAGCCGGCTTCCTCCGGCGGGATGTGGCGAGGCGAGGCTTGCCTGAGTAGCAAGTACACGGAGGGAGGACAGGAGATTATTTTAGGATGACGGACGGAAGTTTTAGGAAGGAGATCACAAGATCACGCTGGGGCTACTGAGAGCAGCACGTTTAGAATCTGGCGAATTTTCTCCAGAGAACCGGGAGGAGATGTCCCAGGGCTTCAAAATGACCCAACAGAGCAGGGGGCATGGTCTCCCTCTTCCCCAGCTCACCTGACTGGTCCGGTGAGGGCCTGGGTCCTGGTTCTGAGAACACTCAGCAGGTGCTGACGCCACGTGGATGAGAAGCCGTGTCTCCACTGTGAACATGGGGCTAAGAACGACAGGACACCAAAGGAAAATTAGGAAATTTACGTAGATCAGGGTTTCCATGTCATGGACAAAAATATAATTCTACCACAAATTAAGCTGGTAAAATATGAAGAAAGATGCAAGATAAATAGAAATAAGGAAATTCTACCTGATTCCAGAGGACTTGGGCTGGTGAGTGTTTCAATTGCTCAAAATTAGAAGCACAAATGACCTGAATCTGTGAGGTGATAAGTCACAATCATTGAATTCAGTTTCTGGTTAGAAGTTATGACTGTTTGATCAAACCTGTTATGTTCATTTGTGAGACAGCAGTACTTCTTAGCAGGCAGTAGTTCTTAGAGTCGTGATACAGGAGGACACTTGGAAGTCGGCATCTGCTCTTCATATTTCGGGAACTCACTCGCAGACTTGATCGAGTTCAATCAGGAGAGCGTTAGGACTTGAGTGCCCACTTTGCAGGAGGGATCGCAGAGGCACAGAGTCGGACAGTGACTTCCCAGGACCCCGCGTCGGTGAAGGAGGAGCCAGGCGTGAGCCCAGCCTCCGTGTGTCCCTGCAGCACCCTGTCCTGCTCGTGAAGTGGACTTGGGAGCACGGAGGGAAGCTGCGGGTACGGCTGCTCGTCGAGGGTGGGGGATGTCCGTGACTTCTGATGATGGCGGCAGGGGAACGGTCTCCCCTGCTCTGTGCACTTGCCTGCCCGGAGCCGAGCTGGAGCAGGCCACAGCCTGGTACTTGGCTGTTTTCAAACATTTTCTTCATGGGCTGACTCATGTTGTCTTCAAAACACCCCCTTGTGGGTTCAGACACTCAGTCGTGTCCGACTCTTTGTGACCGCATGGACGGTAGCCCACCAGGCTCTTCTGTCCATGGGATTTCCCAGGCAAGAATACTGGAGTGAGTTGCCATTTCCCCCTCCAGGGAAGCTTCCCGACCCAGGCAATGTTATTAGCATCTTTTTAGACCAAAGAAATTGGGGCTCAGAAAGGCTAATGACCTGACCTAGCACACCCAGAAGTGACATGAACAGTAAACAGATTGTACAGAAGCCCCCCCCACCCTGGCTTTTAAGCCCCCACACCATGCCTGCTGGTGTGATTAGCACTTCACTGAAATGATCAATGCAGGATGTATTTCCTATCAGGTCAGTGGCCAGTCATGATGTGGAACATCTTTCCATTGATTCTAAAGATTTCCAAAAGTCTGCATTTCTGCTTTGGGGATGCCTTCCTGATTCTTAGTCTTTTGAATGTTGCACTTTAGCATGAATGTCAAATAATAAGATTATCCAGCTCCTCAAATGCTCTACCTAAGGGTGAAACGACTCCTGACATTTGGCATTTCTCTCCAGGACTTGCTCCTTCTTTGGCTGAGATTATTTTCCTGCTTTCCTCGTGAACGTGCCCATAGGTGGCATAGGAATTGCTGGGTCTTCCAAACCCAAGAGGCCCACAGAGGTCTGGAAGTTTAGGAGGTAACATTCTGCAAAGTCTAGTGCCAAAGATCTAGAAAGAAGAAAAGTCAGTCTGTACAGGAGGGAGTGTCCCTTTTAGCAGATTGTTTCCTGGTTCAAAGGTCTCATGTGATACTTTAGTTTTTACTTAGGGAAACTGGTTCTATATTTCTGAAAAACACCTCTTTGGAGAATTTTCAGGTATTTTTCACTAGGCTTGTAAGTCTGGAAAATAAATTCAAAACCACAAATTCCTTCAGTTACTGTAAGGATCACCTGATGCAACCTTTGGTAAAGATTTACAATTTCATCATTGATTCAAACTGTTTGATTTTGCAACTATTTCTTTACCATCTTTGTGGGCTGCAAATCGAGAGTCAATCAACAAACATGACTTCAGATCTGACTTCAGATCTGATCGGTGCCCTGGCGTTAATTGGAGTAGAAATAAACATCAGAGGACATGAGAGTTTCATCTCAGCAGGAGCAGAGAGTCAAGGAGAGGTGTTACTTTCTCTTGTTAGATTAACCAGTAACACTTTCATTTATATCAGCTTCAAAGTTTGAACTTTGTGGAACATACTTTACAAATGCAACCAAACAGAGAAGTTCTTTTTCTTAAGGAGTAAAATTATGTAAAGCAATGGAAAGATGTCATGAGTGCAAATTGGAAAGACATTTTAGTTCAACCGGGGTTTCTATGTATTTTCTTTTCTTTTTTTTACTTTTTGTAGAAATCCTGGATATGTCATCATATAACCTGTTATATACAAAACATGCTGCTTTAGAGTGTATAAATCTGCTAGATGTAATATACTGGACTTTTCACAATATGGCACATAGCTGGTACCCATGAAGACCACAGCCCATCCATGGGTGTGGCATGGACATAGAACAGATCTGGAAAAAATCTTAAATACCTTCCCATTTTTGAAAAGGTGAAAGTGAAGTCGCTCAGTCGTGTTGGACTCTTTGCAACCCCATGAACTGTAGCCGGTATACCTGGCTCCTCCAGCCATGGGATTTCCAGGCAGGAATATTGGAGTGGGTTGCCATTTCTTTCTTCAGGGGATCTCCCCGACCCAGGGACCAAACCCTGGTCTCCCGCATTTACCACCTGAGCCACCAGGGAAGCCCTCCCACTTTTAGTCATGAAGAAAAACTTGATGACAGTTTAAAATATAAACGCTGAAATCAAAGCCATAGTCTCAAATCCCAGGGGACTCTTTTCAGGTGAATTCATCCCTGCTCTGTAGGAAGTGGTGGGGGGAGTGACTAAGTTAGTAACGGTGCCTCTGATTTTAGGCCGCGTCCTCAGCGGGCTGCCCACCTGGGAACTTGCCGAGAAAGCCGTCTGGCCCATCCCGCGTCCGCAGACACAGGGGCCTTCTAGTGGGGCCTGCTAGTCTGAATTTAATAGTCTCCCCCGCAGTGCGGGAGACCCGGGTTCAGTCCCTGGGTGGGGAAGATGCCCTGGAGGAGGGCCTGGCAACCCACTCCCGTGTCTTGCCTGGAGAGTCCCATGGACAGAGGAGCCTGGCGGGCTACGGTCCGTGGGGTCGCAGAGAGTCGGACACGACCGAGCGACTACGCACAGCGCCAGGTGCAGCGAGGCAGATGAGTTAAGGATAAGAATATAAGGACTGTAGACGTAGGAGAGGAGGTGTGGATGCGAGAAGCCGAGCAAGAAGCTGTGGCTAGTTCCCGCAAAGCCTGAGGCCCAGGGCAGAGAGGAGATGGGGGCGGAGCCTGGCCGGGCGGGGCGGGGGTCTGTCCTCAGACAGACGGGGGGCCGCGCAGCCGCTCTGAGAGGGCTGCGCAGGAGGCGCCCGCAGGCGTTTTCACAAGGGAATACTGCTTTGGAATTCTGTGTCTCTGTCACTTCTCTGGGAGCTTAAGCCAAAATAACCAGCTAACAATAGTGATGAGAGCTGAGCTATACCGATCTAAACGACAGTGAGGGCTCGCAGAACTGACCACCGAGAATGAATTCGGCCTTCATAACGACCAGTGTGAGACCGGGAGCCTAGGTCGGGGATGGAGCGGGGCGCCCCGGAACCCAACCCTGAGGGTCGCGGTGGCGCCCCGCGTGCAGCTCCAGAAGCAGCTGCCCCACGGCCTCCTTGAGGCTCTGCTGCGGCCCAGCGCCTGGCTCATCCCCCGGGCATCGGACAGCGGCGCCCCGTCTGGACCGCAGTCCTGAGGGAGCCTTCCCACCGACGACTCGCAAGGAACCACACGGTCTGTTCAGCCATCAGTTTGTGTTTGGACACATGTGTGCACGGGTTTCATGTGCTCGTCAGCGGAGGACACCATGCCAGACGTGAAATACACACATCATGCAACCAGTGGAGGGGCCACGGTGTGGCCCGCGTGCACGCGGGCGTGTGTGTGTGTGTGTGTGTGTGTGTGCTTAAACTTTTGCCTGAGACGTGGAGTCTTCTACCGGAAAAACTACCCTGAGGGAGGTTTTGCTATTGCTCAGTCGTGTCCGACTCGTTGCGACCCCATGGGCTTCAGCACGCCAGGCCTCCCTATCCATCACCAACATCCAGAACTTGCTCAAACTCATGTCCAATGAGTCGGTGATGCCATCCAACCATCTCATCCTCTGTTGTTCCCTTCTTCTCCCGCCCTCAATCTTTCCCAGCATCAGGGTCTTTTCCAAGGAGTCAGCCCTTCGCGTCAGGTGGCCAAAGTATTGGAGTTTCAGCTTCAACATCAGTCCTTCCAATGAACACCCAGGACTGATCTCCTTTAGGATGGACTGGTTAATCTCCTTGCAGTCCAGGGCACTCTCGGGAGTCTCCTCCGGCCCTGAGAGAGGCTCAGGCGCAGTAACCCAGCCTGAGATGGGGAGTGTCTTCTCGCTGCGCCCAGCCCCGCCTTCTCCGCTTCCTCCTCTGGGGTCCGCTGCTCTGACCCACTTCTCTGCTGCCGCCCAGAGAGGTTCTTCACGGGCACTCTTGGGGACTATTTTTCACAAACCCGTTTCCAGTCCTCCTTGGTAACCACGTCCCTCTCTCCCCGTGGACACAAGACGTGAGCGCGTGATGTCCCGGGGTCTCCGGGTGAAGCCGCTATCCTGCGGTTTCCTCCCTGCTGCACTGTTTTGATGGTCACCCAGAAGTTTCACGTGCTGACTCAGGCAGAAGTGAAGGGGGAAGAGAGTACTCTGACACCATCTGTCGCACCTTCACGGCATAGGAGATGTATGCCTAGGAGATGTTGTTGTAGGAGATGCCAGCGTGTCTTCTGTCAGTTAACGTGCAGGCCGGTGTCCCGTCTCAGAAGTGAAAGGTGACGCGGGATGCAGCCAAGCGCACCGCGGCAGGGGCAGGAGGCTGATCCGGAGGTCAGGAGCCTTAGCTGGTGTGTCCCCCATCTCTCCCTCCCTCCCTCCTTCCTTCCTTTGGTGCCAGAACAACGCAGCCAGGGTATTTCTTATCAATTCTTTTCTTTGACTGACTCTAAAACGTTGCACAAACAGTCACCTTTTAAAGTAAGGCATCGAAATTTGGTTTATATATATATATATTTTTTTTTTTTTTTAACCTTTTAGGACATTGCTTTGACTGTATAGGTAAATGAAAATTTAGGATGTGAGCATTAAGAATTTTGGCCGGAAGGAGGGATTGGTCTGGCATATGTAATTTTTAGGCAAAAGAATATTCTAGAAAGATCTAGATAGTAGACGAGAAAAAAGAGAAGGAATTTTGGAAGCTAGGGCATGCCATGGAGCCCACCTAGAAGTCAGCTTGGGGGTAGGGAAAACAGGGAGGCACCCTTCCTCTGTCCATCAGACACTGGCCTGCTGTGCCGGGCTGGACACATCCCCGTTCCTCAGCTCGCGTGTGTCCTCCCTTTATCCCCCATCCAGTCCACCTGCAGAACACCTGCGCTTGAACACCTGTTCTTGTGTGCAGGAATTAGGAATCGGCTGTGGGACATGTTGTTGACCTTAGGTTGCAGGATTGAGCAGCGCAGGCCCATCCCTGAATGGCAGGAGCGCCACCAGGCCCAGTGTGGACCGGCTCACCTGGGCGGGGAGACGCCTGAGAACGTCCTCGGCTGGGCGGAGGCCCTGCAGGAGCGGTTCCGGACTCCAGGCCTGGAGTCCGTGGCCTGTGCTGCAGTCGGAGGTGGTGGGAGGGGGGTGGGGGGTGGCTCCTGGAAGAGGGCGGGGACCCGGCGGGGCGGGGCTGGGGGGGCCCCCTTCCAGGCAGCTGACACAGGAGGGAAGCACTGCTAAATACAGAGGCTGAGCTTTAGTTTGCGTTTTGCTCCTGAGGAGACTAGGGTAAAGTTAGAGAGTCTTCTTCCCATGCTTTGAATTTGTTAGGGGCCTCATATGCTGTCTGGTGGTTCCGAAGGTAAAAAATCCACCTGCCAATGCAGGAGACCCCGCTTCCACCCCTGGATCGGGCAGACCCCCTGGGGAAGGAAATGGCAACCCACTCCAGTATTCTTGCCTGGAGAGTCCCATGGACTGGGGAGCCTGGCTTGCTGCGGTCCACGGGGTCTCGGAGTCGGCCACGACTGAGGGACCGAACCACCACCACGTTCATTAAGCCCGACTGTACCCGCCATTTCCTGAAGCGCCCTTCTTTCTTCCTCTTCCCATATTGACCCTGGCGCTTACAGATGCTTCAGAAATGCTCTTGACTGGGTCATAAGTAAGTTTGCTGTGAGGTCAAGGCATTCTGGCGCATGCTCTCAGACCCTAGTGATAAATCTCTCACGGCTAGATCTATTATTTGCTGGCGGCTTTTGGTTGTCCCGCGCCTCGTGCGCTGATGGAGACAGAATGTCCCGGGTGTCTGACGGGCACCCTCCATCACGTCTGGGTTCCTGCTGAGTATGCCCCTTGCAGTGACCGGGCTTCCTAAGGAGGGACAGAGGACACTTGTCTTGGGGGACAGGTGGGTCACCACGGACACAGGCTTCTGTCGTGATGGCAGGCCTGGTATGGATGGGCCTCCATGCCTGGGGGCGAGGGGGGGCCCTGGGAGCTTCTTAGGGGACACCAGGCTCAGAGCAGGAGGCAGACCTTGGGGTGGGGTGGGGAGCGAGGCCTGCACAAATCAGGCAAGTTTCTATTTATAGTGCATTTAGAATGTTTGCTTTATTTCTGACAAGAACAGGAATATGGGCTCATTGCAAGAAAATGACAGAAAATAAGGAAAATAAAGGAGAAAATAGAAACCGCCTTTAACTTCACTATTAGAACAGCTTCCAACATATATTATCACTTAATAGATTCTGACACTTCACCTTCTATTATGTTCCTGTCTGGTGCTGTAGAGTCCTGTGTAAACAACTCTTCTCAGAGTCTGTAAACTGTTTTATTCAGTTCAGTTCAGTCACTCAGTCGTGTCCTACTCTTTGCGACCCCATGGACATAAGGCCTCCCTGTCCATCACCAACTCCCGGAGCTTACTCAAATTCAGGTCCATCGAGTTGGTGATGCCATCCAACCATTTCATCCTCTGTCGTCCCCTTCCCCTCCTGCCCTCAACCTTTCCCACCATCAGGGTCTTTTCAAATGACTCAGTTCTTCCCATCAGGTGGCCAAAGTATTGGAGTTTCAGCCTCAGCATCAGTCCTTCCAATGAATATTCAGGACTGAATTATTTAGTAAACTTATCCTAATTTACTGAACTGTTTTCTAAGTTAAAAGATGATATTTAGTCAGTGATTTTCAATAATAAATAATACTGTGATTTAGCTTTTTCTTCACATTTTTGTCCTGTGGTCTTTTAGTGTGAAAGTCAAATGTGTTAGTCACTAGTCATGTCTGACTCTTTGTGACCCCGTGGACTATAGCCCGCCAGGCTTCTCTGCCCGTGGGATTCTCCAGCAAGAACACTGGAGTGGGTTGCCATGCCCTCCTCCGGGGGATCTTCCCGACCCAGGGATCGTATCAGGGTCTCCCATGTTGCAGGCACATACTTTTCAGTCTGAGCCAAGCAGGGAAGCTCCTATTAGAGTAGGATGTTAAAAGGAGAATAAGGAGCTTGGATGTGCTGGGTAACTGGGTGACTTCTGGAATGGCCACGCCAACGGTGCACCCCAGTTAGGCAGCGTGTGGAGCTGCCCCAGCGGGATGAGCCTCCAGGAGGCTCTGACTCCCCTCCAGACTCACCTTGGCCGTGTCCTCTTAGAGATGCTGTCACACACTCAGGGCAGCAGTCGCCCAAAGCTCAGGCACTTTGGCTGCCGCTAAGTAAGCGATCGATAAAACTGAGCAGCTTTTCCCTGCAGGGGTAAATCGAGGTGGTCATTTTTATGAAAGCTTCAGCCCTCACCTGGCCCAAGAGCTCAGCCTCCTTCTGGCTGATTCCCACTGGGTCACTGGGGATTGCTCTGCATCAGTGAGTAGGAACGCTGTCTGGTTTCTGAAGGGAGGCGGGAGGGGGCTCTCACACTCCTGCTGCGAGGCTCCAGAAGGTTCCTTCTCCTCTGGCCAACAGGACGGTCCTCCTTCGCCTCCCAGGGTCCAGCACCTCCCCTGCCCCCACAGCCCCATCCCATCACTCTTGGGCTGGGGAGACAGACACTCCTTCAGGCCGAGACCCCCAGACCCAGCCACCCACCTCCCTCCTGGCCCTTGATGCTGTCCGCCTCTGGGATGGACGTCGGTGTTGCCCGCAGCCTGCAGGGTTCATGATCGCTGCCACGCTCTTCCTGGCCCTTCTTCACACGCTCGAGCTGCACAGAGATGAGCCAGGTGCCCCCAGGTGGACGAGGCTGGACTAGGTGCCTGAGAAGCCAGGGACTCTGGCTCGGTCCCCACGGTGCCGTGGCAGAGGACCACTGACTCAGTGGTTAAGACAATGCAGATTCACAACCTCACGGCTTCACGGGTCAGAAACCCCCAATGACTCTGGCTGGGCGGCAGATGGGGGAGGCAGGGCTCCTCCTCCCGGGGGCTCAGGGGCACATCTGTTTTGTGTCCCCAGCTTCTTGGGCGCCCGCATCTGTGGTCTGGGGGCCCCTTCCATGTTCCTGGCCAGCAGCTCCTCCCGTCTCTGTCTGACCCCGGCTCTCCTGCCTCCATCCCTCTCTCGTAAAGACTCTTGTGATGACACAGAGTCCAGTTGGGAAATCCGGAAAACCTCCCCACCCCCTGTCAAGGAAGGTGATAATCCTAGGTTCTGGGGGTGACAGCATGGATGACTCTGTGGGGGCGGGGGGACAGGTGCTGACCTTCTGCTGGGTCATCTCTGCAGCCCACAAATGTGGTGTGCATCCAGAAGACATTTTCATCAGGTTAAATGGTGTCAAACATTCAGAGCTCATTCTTACCTTCCCTTTATGCAGTGGTTTTATATGCATCTTACTTGGGTCCATTTCTGCAGTGACTGTTTCGGATTGTTTAACATCAGAGTCCAAGTGCACAAAGAAAGTGATGGCATTTCTCTGCCTCCCTCTGTGAACTGATACTTTTGCCAAACTAAGGAAGAGTATCTTTCTGGGCTGCAACTGACTCACAATCTATGGGCCTCCCGCCCCATAAAGGTAAGGACTCGGGACTTTCGTGTTTGCTGCTGTTCTGAGTCCTGAATTGATCTCGGAAACATCCCTAGGAGAGAAATCCACTGGGGACAGTTGGAATTGTGGAAATTTGCTGAGTATATTTACAGTTTGCTCACCACAGTTTCTTCTTGATATTATCACAGTAGTCACAAAGGCGAACACTTTTTCAGGACTGTCTTCCAGGCACTGAATTAGGAATTCCCATCCATTACTTTGTGTAAGATTCCTGAAACCCTGTGTCGTGGAAACAGAGGCACAGAGCCGGCGCCCGCAGCTGTGTTTCTGCCTCTGGTTCCCTCTTTGCCATCTCTGCCCTGCGAGCTGACCCCCACCATGGAGGCTCAGGGGGAGACGCAGAAAGGGCCCCGTGCTGATCACCAGGGCACGTGCCCAGAGCCGCGCCAGGTGCCCCCTGCCGGGACCAGCCGCCTCGCCCCAGGAACACCTGACCTTTGAGAGTCGGTGTCCGCATCCGGAACTTGGCATCTGGTCAGTGTGCCTGTTGCATAGATGGAGGAATCGTCTGCATTTGCCCAGCGTGGGCAGGCTGTGGCCCTTGTCTGTCTGTGAGGACTTTCTTTACTCCTTACATGTTCCCAAACCCAGAGTCTTGCAAATGTTTACTGTTTAGTTTTGCAAATGGAAACAGACAAAAGCCTGAAGGCCATGGATCGGACTTTGGGGAAACCTCCCTCCATCCGCAGAGACGGTGGCTTTCCCCCGATTTCGTGTGCTTGTGTGCCGGGGCACACGGACAGTTTGAAGGAGCTCGAATGTTGCCTTCTGGACTGGACACGCAGCATCAGAAATAGAAGCGAATTTGAAATTATAATCTCCAAGCTCCTGTGAGAGTTCTCTCACGGAGACTGTGTGTAATTGCTTTGGGGCATGTCCAAAAGGTGGTCACTGCGGCATCCGAGTCTGTCAGGCTCTGCTGCAGCTCCTGCATGGAGGCTTTCTGCGGAAACAACTGCTAACAAGGTTGCCAATTAGGGAGGATGTTTTTCTGTGATGTGAGCATTTTTTCTGCGGAAACTAGCTTGAGAGTCAGAGCTGGTGCATGTACTGAAACGGCTAGTGTAACCATGCTGCTTGCAGCTCTCACCAGAGTCCAAGAAAGCAACTTAATCCCACTTAGGCGCCTTACGAAAGCCAAAGGGTCGTCAGTCATACAGGAAACACGCCTATTTCAGTTACTGCATATTCTACCTCACGTGTCTGATGCATCCTGTACACAAAAACAAGCTGGAAAAGGATATGCACAGACCAGCGGGTCTCGGAACCTGAGCGTGGCAGCTTCAAGTTCCAGTGTTTGTCCTTCTCTGCACCTTAGGTAACTGGCTGCCAGGGACACTGTGAGTTCCCATGACGCTTGTCCACAGCCGGCTTTCAAAACACACCTTCTCAAGTCCTTCCGTTTGTGCCTCTCCGTGTCCATGTCTCTGTTTGTCTCTCTCTCTGGCCCCAAATCCAGCTGTCCTGATCATGGAGTAGGCTGTGTAATTCTGTGGTCATGTTTAAGCAGTCATCAAAAGATAAAGTTTGTGGAGTGGATTACTTTACAAAAGAATTATTCTCAAAAGAATTCAGCAAGAATGGTTTA